AAATTTTGTTTACGGCATCTTGCGTTTGACAAAAAAGTGGCACAGGTTAGTGCACACCGCACCCTTCTATCTTCACGAATAACGGAGATACCGTATGATTTCAACCAAAATGGGACACCCTGTACAGTTAAATGGCAGCGTCCAAGTGTACTTGGTTCAAGTAACTTTCACAGTGGCTTTCCGCCTTATGAGATCAAATAAATAATGTCAATACTTTCACAGAATTGTGAATTATACAATGGACCAGTGAAAAATATTTAAAATTATGTACTTATTTTACGCATATAGCTTATAACTAATTTCACAACCACTACTAGTCCTGTTACTAGATTATAAATACGTTACTAGATTATAAACAAGTTACGTAGTATACTACAACGATAAGTTTAACTAAGGTTTGTACAAAATTATAACTTCTATAGGTATAAACATGCATACACCACTTAAACACTAACAAATTAAAATTATCTCATTTATTCTCTTAAAATTAACATAAATAATATGAAATCGAAAATACTTGGCCTCGTTTGAGTTAAGAATGATGCGTATTCTGAAGAAACAGGTATAGTGGTAGTGAAATTGCAAAATTGTTACTTTTTACATAAGCAGATCTTTGCGATTTCACTACCGGAGGATAAACAGATTGCTGGCTTCAAATCTTAACACGACCGATCAAACTTAACAAAACTTAAAAAATGTCTATACCTCTGTGGCGGATTTATCTATCCAAAAAAGTCCTAATAGCTGAATACACACGTAAAGACTTATTGGGAGCAATAAATTGTACCAATTAGTTGTTAGATAAACCGTTAAGACAAATCTATCAGACAAATCTTAGTGATGCAAAGTTTTATTGAAGCGAATTATCCTATAAAGTTTATCTGAGTATTTATTCATTGCGTCTGTGTCGTCCTCGGTGTCGTCCACAAAGATTATTTTTAGATTTCGTACGATTTATCGATTATACAGGGTGAGTTTCCTACGATGTTCTCTATGGGCATCTCGTAAACTACTGGAGATAGGGAGTCGGTTAAATGGGGAAAGAATTGCAGTTTTGTGGGGTCATAAATATGCACCTTTCAGATTTTTGAAAAAGTTCATGGCTTACTAGATATTTCGAAAAAAACAAAAGTTGGCTATTTTAAAAATTGTCCCTAATTCCATTATAATCTATTTTAGACAAAAAGTGTTCAGATAAAAGTTGTAGATAATCACATTCATAATGAGTTTGTGTTCTCCGATTTTTTCTAAAGCCTGTCATTTTTGACATATGACACAAACATATGTTTTTTTAAATAGAAACCATAGTAGGCCATGACTTTATAAAAAGCGCCATTTTTTACGCTTTTCGGCGATATAAGCTATAATATGTTTCTTTCACAAAATTACTGAGTTATCGCCAATTCTTATATTTCTTGAATAATTTCACTTAGTTAGCCATGGAAACAAGTTCAATCGTCGTTGCTCTCAGCAATGTGAAATTGTGTCACATCCAATCTTTGTAAATTAAAATAAACAAAAATTGTAAATAAAAATTTTTCAAATGAAGAAAAGCGTGTAGGATTGGTTCAACTTTTCTTGGCCATACAGGATACGTTGACCGGTGAAAGTTACTTACGTTTTTTAGAGAACGGTTTTCAATGGTGTACAAATTTTGGTGATTTATAACTTATAAAAAGACAAAATATATTATTAAACGGCTCTTTACAATTTACACTACACAAACTAAAACTTAAAAAAATAATATCACTACGTACACTTTAAGTTATTTTAGAAAATGTTCAAAAAATCCGCAATTATTTTGAGTACATAAATGCATTTTTTTAAAACTGAATTTCTAGCTATTGTCACAGAACGACCGGTCGACTTAATTAAACTTCTCCTGTTTCGCCTCTTCGAGTGCCTCTCTTAATTCACGAGTTCTTTTGTAAACCTTGTTGTTAACCATACCGCATAAAAAAATCTAAAATGTTAGCTAGTGACGAGGGAGACCCATGCAATTGGTCCACCTCTTTCTATCCCTGAGTCTACATAATTATAATATAAATATTTTTTTATTTTTTTTCATTTGTTTCATTGTGGTGTTTCATGGTGGGGGTGGGGTGTCATAATCAAAGTAATGTTGGAACCACTGTATTAATGCGCGAGTATCTAAATTTAACTTTTCTAACATGTCTTGAAAACCGTTCTCTAAAAAACGTAACGTTCACCGGTCAACGTATCCTCGAAACTGTAAAGCCAAGAAAAGTTGAATCAATAATCCTACACGCTTTTCTTCATTTAAAAACTCTTATTTACAATTTTTGTTTATGTTAATTTACAAAGATTGGATGTGACAATTTCACATTCCTGAGAGCAACGACGATTGAACTTGTTTCCATGGCTAAGTGAAATTAGTCAAGAAAGATAAAAATTGGCTATAACTCAGTAATTTTGTGAAAGAAATATATTATAGCTTATATCGCCTGAAAAGCTTAAAAATGGCGCTTTTTATGAAGTCATGGCCAACTATGGTTTCCATTAAAAAACATGTTTGTCATATGTTAAAAATGACAGGCTTTAGAAAAAATCGGAGAACACAAACTCATTAGGAATGTGATTATCTACAACTTTTATCTGAAAACTTTTTGTCTAAAATAGATTATAATGGAATTAGGGACAATTTTTAAAATAGCTAAAATTTGTTTTTTTCGAAATATCTAGTAAGCCATGAACTTTTTCGAAAATCTGAAAAGCGCATATTTATGACCCCACAAAACTGCAATTCTTTCCCCATTTAACTGACTTTCTATCTCCAGTAGTTTCCGAGATACCCATAGAGAACATCGTAGGAAACTCACCCTGTATTCGGATCGTTGATTTTTCGGAATTTCTGAAAATCTGAGCGATTTAATTGTTACTCGTAGATTAGTCTATCTTTTCAGTCAGTCTACGATGAATGAAAAAATGATTTATAAAACTTTTTACTAATTGGAATGATTGGTTATGTGAATATAAAATAAGGCCCAGTCAATAAAAAACAGACCGAATGGGTTAAAATATGGTCATTGAGAAAAGAATTACACCACATTCCGCTTATAAAGCAGCTGCAAAAGGATGAGCCTGGCGATTTTAAATAGCTACCTATACATGGATGAAGATACTTTTCAACATTTACTATCGTCATGAGATTGTTGATAATTCGCGACATATTTGTCTAATCGCTGTGTTAGTGTACTAGAGGAAATTATCGTCCCAAATTATTTGTCAGTAATTTATCTGCCAAAATTAAAATTTCCTTTATGACATAAACTAGCAGACTTTTCGTTACAATTTGTATAATTAAACTGTTCGTATGTATTCAGCTAATAAAAAAAATTAAAAATCAAGAAGTGTAATTTTAACAGAACGTAATAAAACTAGTGTGTTCACTAAAGTGTTCACTCATATAGTTGGCTTTAGATATTTTAAATAGTTTTTTTCTTCGTTCTTTGTTTTTTTGCTTCCGACGCGACGACGGGACCAGATACTAAGGGCTGGCAAAGGTTAGTCTTGGGTCGAGATTTCCGTATGTATGAAGAGTACAATACGTTTATAATGTACTGAACAAAGAGAGAACAGATATAACAGATTTGTCCCAGTTGACCGGTCGACCCAATCAGTACCTCTTACCTCTGTCAATACTTATTCTAGGGAAAGGTGTACATCATGCGTTCAGCTTCACGATTTTATTACGTCCCGTGTTACTTTGTTTATTTATTAACGACTCGTTGTAATTTTCCCTATAGCTTGAAAATGTTTAAGTGCAAGCTAGAAACACTTGCATTTTTGGTAAAAATAAGTGGAATTGAGTTGGTTTTCGACAGTGGCCGGGCTATTAGAACTCTGAATTCAAAAATCGATATCTCGAAATCTATTAGAAATAATTGACTGTAGTTTTTGCAAAAACTTTCTTAATATTTCTGCTGCACTTTCTTCGTAGACAGTAAGTGAAAATCTTTATCAATAAAAAAATTACACGAGTGCTGAAAATTGCTATGCTCTAAAAGTAAATAGATGGGTTGTTTACAATTTTTGAATGGAAAAAAAGAACCTTATCGAATTTTTCTTATGTAAACATATTGTAAAAGATCCTATCTTCAAAATAAAAAAAAGTTTGAATATCTAAAGTGTTTCTTGAGTTATGGCGTGTTATGTGATAAAAAGTGTTTTTAAATTATCGCGATTACTGACGTTTTCTCGTTATAAAAAAATAACACCTTAAAGATATCCTTATAATTCCATTTCAGTATTTTAAAAATAAGCGGTTTGCGATCGTGATTTTACTTTACTTGATAGGGAAAGGCGTACCGGCAACGCCGCAACAGCACTCCATCGCATTTCTCTCACTCCGACTTAATAAGATCCCTATGCGATTTACTTCCACACATGTAAATACCGACCCAAGAGTAACAGTTGCCAGCACGGTATACTTCCCGAAGCAAGTATTTTTTGTCCGTTATGCGGCATTTAGCGAACTCCGAGCGCTCGTCAACTACCGAGCGCTCGTGATCGGACTTCGCTTTTCCATCCACACATGCGGGCTCTGATAGCAACAACATAGAGACGAGCGTTCCTTCTCGTCGCCGATCGAGTCGCCGATCGAGTCGCCGAACTCCGACTTCCACATCCATACACATAGGAAATCGGCGAAGCCCCGATCGGAGATCGCTAAATGCCGCATGCGCGGTTGCGGCATTGGGCAAATTTGTTTATTAGTAAACCACTGTTGACAATTAGTCTCCGTTGGATTAACGCAGCAATGTTTACAAAAAATAACTATTTAATTTTTTTTATTTTCTTACCGTGGCGAAATATCCATAGGACTTTTTTGGGGAGTTAACAAAACTTTTTATAATTTTTTTTTACAGGAAACAGCCTTATAATGTAAATATTACACAATCAAGAGCAAAAGACTAATTTGTTTTTTATCTTCTACTTAAACAATGCTTCCCATGTCCCAGTATCTATTTACAATTTAAGTTAATTAATTTAGGCTTTGTTTAGTCTTTCATTCTCACTTCCGTGAAGTTTCTTTTCCCAGTTTTTATCTCTCTTAGCCCACACAAAATTATTTTGTTGAAAATAATCTTCGATATAACTTAAACTTTTCCCCTTTGTTTCCGGTAAGACTAGATAGAGAAATAAACTGGCTAAAAGGGACGATAATCCGAATATTAAGAACACTCCGTGTATTCCAATACTGTTCTTAATAAAAGGAAATATTTTAGCTATACCAAACAGTGCAAAATTGAACAACATAAACGTGATTCCACCGGCATGACCGCGAACTTTAGCTGGGAAGAGTTCACTAAGCATCACACCAGGTAAAACGAAGAAACCCAAGGTATTCGCTGCCACGTATGTTAAAGTGAACAAGGCAGTAAGATAATGGGATTGTTCACAGTCTTGCTGGAGGATTATTCCTAGACATAATGCCGATATAGTGGACCCTATTCCGCTCATTAAAGCGATCTTTCTTCTTCCGATTAGTGCTAGAAGTAGACTGGCTATAATAGTGAAAATAAATCTAACGCATGCAGTCAAAGACGCAGCTAGAAACTGGTTTATTAGTTTTCCGTTTATGTTGCTCAAAATGTCCACAGCATAAAACACGACTAAATATGTTCCGGAAAGGATTTGCAAAATATTGAAAATGTTTATGATTAGAAGTGGCTTCATCACGTTTGGTTTTGTGAATATGCTGAAGATGCTTTCTTTGTGAATTTGTCCTTCTGATTTAGCTCGTTGTAGTAAATGTTCGATTTCATTTTTTGCCTGTAAATGAAGACAATATAATTAGAGGAGGGATTATACAGGGTGTTTCAAAAAACATGTGCCATCTCTCGTGGGGAGATTCCTCATATAAAAATAAGATTTATTTTTCATATCAGCATAGGTCCGATTTTGCTTTGTTTCGTAGCTACAGGGTTTTAAAGTCTTAATAATCTTTCGATTTATTATTATATTCTTCCAAGTACTTTTACTGATTCGAATGAAATTTTGAGGGTGAAAGTTACTATAAGTGCTACATATTTTAAACGCTAAAAAAGTGTCGATAAATTTTTCAGGGACGTGCATATGGGTTATCACTGCAATATTTTTCAATAAAAAAACATGTGCGCCACTGACTTTTTTTCTTTCGGTATCAAAATTGTCTAGGTCGTTTTATGCCAATTAAAAGTTATCTCTTGATATTTTGTCTAATTCGGCCTCCTTGATGAGATAAACGCAATTTTATTAATCACCATAAATAAAATGAAAAAATTAAAATGAAGTTAATAAAATATATATTTTACCTATATTATTATTAAATATTATTACAACTAGGTATTATTACTATTAGTCCAACCTACAGCAATTTCAAATAAAAAATAATGGTATTGAAGATAATTACAAAAAACCTAATTTTAAAATTTTTTAACACCCTGTAATTCTAAAACTATGCATTTGCATACCCATGTGTATAGGAACTTTTCAAATTCTTCGACGAGGAATCGACGAGTACTTTCGCAAGTTAATGATATTAAAATTTTTTAAAGGTTGCTATTAGACTTGGATCAAGGAAAATTAATAAAATTATGTTTATCTCATCAAGGAGGCCGAAATCGACAAAATATCAAGATACAACTTTTATTCGGCATTAAATTCCTTACATTATTTCGCTAACAAGAGAAAAAAAAAGTCAGTGGTGTACATGATTTTTTAGAAAAATATTCCAGTGATAACCCATATGCACGTCCCTGGTGAATATGTCGATATTTTTTTAGCTTTAAAATATGTTACACTTATAGTAAATTTTACCCTCAAAATTTCATTCGAAACGTTAAAAGCACTTGGAAGAGAATTATAATAAATCGAAAAAATATTAAGATTTTAACACCCTGTAGCTAAGAAACAAAGCAAAATCGGACCTATGTTGATATGAAAAATAAATCTTATTTTTACGTGAGGAATCTCCCCACGAGAGATGGCACATATTTTTTGAAACACCTTGTATATGAGCAAACATTAAAAAAATAGGAATTTAAATTAATAGTTAATTCAAATTTTCAAAAAATATATATAAATTGTGACTCTTCCTAACCGACTATGATAACTGCCCAATAAATTGGACAGTAACTACTTAATACTACTAAGTTAATCTTTCATAATAATAGGCATAGGCTAATGGGCCGTTTACACTCTCAGTTAATTTGCGCAAACTAGTCTGTTCAAACCAAACTGCACCAATATTAAATTGTCTTAAAAAACTCACCCCAATTAAATACACATACGATAAACAAATTGTGATGTTAAATCTTAACCAACAAAGTCACAGCTATCTAAAACCTTGGTAACGCTCAGTTAACAATGAAGATGAGACAGATTTTTATTGAAGCCAATTTTTTGCACAAACTAATGGTCCAGTCGAGATATGAAATGTCGCGTGTTTTTTGAGGGACCTTTTTTATTTCTGATATTTATTTTTTGCATGGATAATGATGGGGATTATGTACACTAGGGCTCACGCCATCTCACGCTATCACACGTGTGATGGGCCATTCGTCTGTCCCATATCTCATGTGTACAATTTTCCACGTCGCAACACGTGGGCTCACGTGGTGCTCATAGCGTGGCGTGGCATAAATTAAACATGAAAGTCACTTTTGATTTTTTTTTGAAATAATGTTTAAGACATACTAACCCCTTGCCTTGCATGCTGCACCCTTATGCAAAGCCATTCCGACATCTATCAAGACATGATCATGATGTCTGTCGGTGGTAACACAGGCTAAACACTTAATGACATAAATTTTGATTTTAGTCGGTTTGTGAAACATACCATCAGCTGTAAATAAAGTTAAGATCACCGTTGTTATTTTATATTGTATTATATCAACCAGTGTTATGGGATTTTGTCTACAAGTCAAAAGGTTGAGGATTTGCTTTGTTGCAGTATGATGAACTAATGTTCTTAGTTTTTAATTTGGAGCTCATGAAAAATTTATGGAGTTATTTCTTCAACTAGAACTATTATCCATGAGAATTATTTATAACGATCCGGTAAGCAAAACAGTGGGTGAGGCTAGAGTACGTAAATGGCAGCAGTTACAACAATGGTTCTGCCCCCGGCTGCTACCAGACAAAAACTCATCGAAACAGTACTGCCTCGGAGTCACTTACAAGCTTATGAATATAAGAATGCACGCCTAACAAAACGGTTATCTTCTACTGAGTTCCGATGGCAATTAGACGAAAACTAATTTCGACCTATCATGCATACCCAACCCGCATTACAAACCGGAGTCCAAGAGTTAATTCAACGCCAAAGTATACCTGACGTGGAAACGGACAAAGAAAATCAAGTCGAAGAAATAATATTTTATGATTCAGCTATCTTCTTCTCTTTTCTTCTTCTTCTCAGCCATTACTCATCCACTGCAGAATGTAGGCCTCCCTCAGTTTCTTCCACTCGTTTCGATTTTGTGCTCTCCTCATCCAGTTCTTACCGGCGACGCGACGGTTTGGATATCATCAGTCCATCTTTTAGGAGGTCGGCCGATTGGGCGTTTTGCTAGGCGTGGCCTCCAGCAAAGAAGTCTTTTTGCCCATCTTTCCTCGGACTGTCTGGCCAAGTGTCCTGCCCAAGACCATATAGAGTTAGCTATCCTCTCTACGATGTCCGTTATCCTCGTCTGTCGGCGAATGTCTTCATTTCTAATGTGGTCGCGAAGACTGATACCCATCATGGCTCTTTCCATAGCTCTTTGGCTCACTCGCAACCTGTTCACACTTCGTGCCGTCATCGTCATAGTCTCCAAACCATAGGTTCATGACAGGCAAGACGCATTTGTTGTAAACGTCTCTTTTTAGGCTATTTGGGATTTTGCTTTTGAATATAAAGTTAAGTTTACCAAAAGCTGCCCATCCGAGTTTGATCCTTCTAGAAATTTCGGTTGTTTGATTTTCCTTGCCGAGTTTTATGGCATGACCTAGATATATATACTCTTAAACGTTCTCAATCCTTTGTCCATTAACATTAACTTGCTCTTCATTTTCATTTAGGGTTTTAGTTTTAGACAAATTCATTTTTAAACCTACTTGCGCAGATATGTGGTGAAGTTGTTCGAGCATTGTTTGAAGTTCTTCCAACGATGAGGCCAGGACAACGACATCATCAGCGAAGTGCAAGTGGTTAAGCATCCCACCATCTACCTTAATACCCTTCTTGTCCCAGTTCAGCTTCTTAAATACGTCCTCCAGGGCCAGTGTAAAAAGTTTAGGGGAAATAGTATCTTCCTGTCAGACTCCTCTTTCCATTTTAATTTTATTTGTGATATTTATGTCATCCAGTTTGATAGTCATTGTAGGTAATTTGTAAATAGATGATATTATGCCCGAGTATCTGTAGTCTATTCTGGCATTTTGTAGGGCATCGAGGATGGCGTGTAGCTCTATAGAGTCGAAAGCGTTCTCATAATCCACAAAGGCGACATATATAGGGAAGTTGTATTCAGTGCTTTTCTCTAGAGAGTGCGGACTGCCTGAAGGTGATCCACAGTACTATATCCACTTCTAAACCCTGCCTGTTCCGGGGGTGGATAGAAGTCGAATTTGTTTGACAGGCGATTTGTCAGCACCTTTGTGAATATTTTGTAGAAGTGCGAGAGCAGGCTGATGGAACGATAATTGTCGAGTCTGGTGTTATCACCCTTTTTGTGAATTAGAGTGATTGTTGCGTTTTGCCATAGCTCTGGTATTCTTTGTTCCATAATGCATCTATTAAAAATTTCCGTCATCTTCTGCAGTAGAAGTTGTTGATTCAGCTATGGAAGACAGTAACTCAGATGAAGAATTAAATAAATAATAGAAAAATAATTGTGTGTTTATGAAATACTGTTCTATACTGTTATTTCTTTATTAGTTTTTTACTTGCTGCGTCTTTTTTAACATTTTTATATTTAATAATACAATGTAAAATTAGAGAAATTTGAAACTAAAAAAATTGAAAAGTGCGACACTATCCATTCCAAATCGGTTTAAATTAGGATTATATGCTCGTTATTGGAAGTACTAGAAAAGAATCCATCTGGATGGAAAGGAAATACTGCCATCGCAGGAAGTGAAATATCTGGAAATAACCCTGGATAGTAAACTTTTCTAGAACAGGCATATTAAGAACACTACCAGCAAAGCCACAAAGGCTCTCATGATATGCAGAAGACTGGCGGGAAATAGATGGAGCTGTGCCCCTAACATTTTGCGCTGGATGTATGCCATGATAGTAAGACCCATGATTACTTATGGAGCAGTTGCTTGGTATACAAAACTAGAGCAACGTACAGCAAGGCAAGACCTGTGCAAAGTACAGAGACTGGCATGTATCTGCATCACAGGTGCCATGAGAACATGTCCAACAGCAGCCAGCAGCAATGGAGGTCATTCTAGACCTAACACCACTGCACATTGTCGTCTGTAGTTATGCCAATGTGACAATGATTAGAATGGTCATTGACGGAAACAGTACTGGGAGAATTTTTAGGCCAGGGGCTTGGAACACCCTCAAAAAGAAAATTCCACTTCTCCAACTCCCAGTGTATGGCATACCAAGAATTTACAATTTTGAGAAACACCTCACTGTAGTATTGAGTAATAAAAAGGATTGGAAGGAAGAAACGCTTACCCAGCATATAAAAGAGCATACCATAACGTGGTATACTGATGCTTCCAAAACCAAAGCCGGGAGAGGGATAGGAGTATTTGGGCCGAAAATTAAATACTCCGAACCAATGGGCACCTACCCCAGTATCCTTCAGGCAGAAATTTACGCTATCGAAATATGCGTACAATTTATCGGAGGAGAAGGAACTATCGAAAACATGAAATTGCCATCCTATCCGATAGTCAAGCAGTACTAAACGCGATCAACTCAGTAACCATCAATTCGAAGTTGGCCAAAGAATGCCTAAAGAAGCTCAACAAATTGTGGTGAAAATAAAGTCCAAAGTACAAAGAAAATAAAGTCCTCCTACTCTGGGTGCCTGCTCACCAAGGGATAGAACGCAATGAAAAAGCAAATAATCTAGCTAGGAAAGGCGCGAACACTCCACTAACTGGACCAGAACTGTTCTGTTTTCCAAACGGGAACCAACTGAAGGCGAAACTGAAGAATTTGGAAGACTCCATCCGTAGCTTGGAATGGGTGTCCTTTAACGGTCTAAGACACTCGAAAAAGTTCCTCAGAACTTACGACCGAGAAAACTCAAAGGTTTTCCTTGATTTAAGTAAAAACAATCTTTGGATTATCACGGGGTTTCTACAGAACACTGTCTCCTCAACGAACATCTCAGGAGGCTGAAGCTGAGAAACAACGGCGAATGCAGATTCTATGGGGAAAATGGGGAAACACCAGAATACCTTATCACTGAGTGCGCCGATACGACGACCATTTGTGCCATGAACTTTGGTACGGCTGATGTCGAGGATGGAGAGTTGGCCTCTGTGGGGCCGTCTCAGATACTGGCCATTGTTAAAGCCCTGAGATTGTATGATGAGTTATAACTCGTTATAACTCAAGAAAGGGGAACGCACAATAGATCTGTAAAGTCGCGGTGATTAACTCGCCTCCTAAACATTCTACATTCTACATTGGAAGGACCAACAAATCCATATTTTTCGTATTTTTTAATGTTTTTTTTTCAAATTATACTAGGGGCGGATACGGCCGTACAATTCAGCACTCTTTGCCTTTAGTCCCTTGATAGCTCTATTGCACGATTTATATTGTAGGACAGATAGAAAATGAAATAGTGGCGTCAAGTTGCAGTGGCAACAGTGGCGTCAGTGACGTTGTTTGCAACATTGCACTAAAAGACGCACAATCTAACCAAGACCTAGTTGATTCGTTAGTACATTAGACAAAACTTTACACCTTTTTTAGGCGCTGTATAAAGATATTTTAAAGAAAAATAGTTAATAAAATGTTTTCATTAAAATGATATGTAACGCATATATAATAAAGATGTAAAAATGCTTACCTGTGTAATTCTTCCCCCTCTGAGCCAGGATAAGGATTTTAAAGCCTCTTCTTGTTTGTTATGTCTAATTAAAAAAACTGGACTCTCAGGTAAAAATGTGAACGCAAATATTGCCAGCAGCGGCAATATTGTACTTAAACCTGTAACAAAAGAAAATATAAATAAAAAATAAACAAAAATACCGTACATCTTTGAGGATACAGACGTTTAATAGTAATTTTATAATATGTAAATTTAGAGACTTAAGCAGAGTGTACACTGTGTTACTTTGGATGTACAACCAAAATGAATCACTCAGATTGAATTCATCCAAATTGAACATCCTTGTTTACATATTTTCATCCAGTTCGTAGCAGTTCACTGTTTCATCTTCCGCATCAGGCTGCCACCTCTCCCAGTGTTTTCTATGTCGAGGTTGGCCGCACGGGTCGGCGTCGGCTGTTTACATTTTTCACTTGCCGTTCAATCTGGATGAATCAACGGTTCGTTGAACGCTCTTTCAACAAAAGTAGGAAGACCGTCAACTTGTTTCATCGTTCAATTTTAGTGTACACTTTGGACGAAAGAGTGATGAAAGGCAATTTACACTTATCACTTTGGATGATTTATCCAAGTTGTACATCCAAAGTGACAAATGTAAATGAGCCTTAATATCACAATAGTAATCTCTTACAATCGCTGAAGTTTTAGAAGTATTACAGAATATGATATTATGATAATAAATAATATTAAAGATGTAATATGTAGTATGATAATATACGCCACTATAAATAGTGGCGAATTAAATGGTGTTGTGTTCTTGTGGCTGCTATAGTATACGACCCTAGAGATAGTGGTATATCTACGTAAATATAAAATTATTTTTTTCTTTTTTTTCTTGGCTTTAGGTCGTTGGGGTTTTAAAGGTGTTACTGGATTTCGTTTATAATTTATTTTTCATTGACAACGTTTCAACAGTCATATTTATGTCTTTTTCAAGTCTGGAACGTAGATTTCTATAGAATTAAAATTGTAAAAAATGGACAATACACACATGTTAAAACTTTCTATTGTTATTGACAACGTTTCGATGGTCATATGTCTTTTTGAAGTATTGAACGTAGAGTAACTAACTAACTAACTCCTAGAGTAGGGGACTTTATTTTCTTTGCCTAATTTGTCACTAACTAAAGTGAAATACAGTGGAATTTAACTTGATTCGCTTTAAAACTACCATTTAGGTTGGAGTTTATCTCTATTATGATAATTATCTATGACGAGACAGTAATATATAAAAGATCATAAATTAAAATTGAATATGAATTTCAAAAGCAAATATGATTATTTTTATGAAATTACTGTTATGTGCTTTACTATCATTCATTCAGCAGCTATAGTTTTGAGTAGTTGCATTAATTAATTCATTAATATTATAATTATATACAAACTTTATTATTCATACTCTTTTACGGTTGTTTATCGCTTTAACATTTCTCCTTACCTGCTACATATCTCCACGACAATAAGGAGCCCAAGGCGTAAACTAATAAAATTCCAAAAGAATAACTAGCAAATGGACCACTAGAAAGCATTCCTCGTAGCCTCGGCTCGGTCGATTCGCCTATTAGGACCTGAAATTATTTAAAATATAAGATTTATAGAAAGAGCGCTTTAACTAAAACAAACACAGACCTAGTTTAAAAGCAAGTGAAACTTTCTTTATTTTTAAAATAAATCTCTTTCTTAGTGGTAGTTAAGTTAATGTTAACATCATCAATTTCCTGTATTTGTATCGTATCGGAGAATATCGTAAACAACTCGTATAATACAAATACACTGGTTTAAATAGGGAATATACGAAAATTGTATTATAATTGTTCTAAAAGTGTTATGAAGTAATATTATTATAATTTGTGAGAATTCTAAACAAAAATATGATAAGGTAAATCTTTTTTGGATACCTTCAGAGAACACTTGCATTATAAATATAACGATCATAGTTTTATGGCACCGGTTTTACTAACTGGGATATTACTAAGGCTATCTGGATTGTGCCAATTTTTTTATAGATACATAATTCTAAAAGACGTTCATAAAAAATAAATCACTAGTTGATTAACAAGAAGCATACCATTAATATTGATCAAATTATATTTTATCCTCATAAATCTACATCAGTGGTTCTCGGCCTGTTATATAACCCTTTTAAGGTCTTGAATGCTATTCTGTACATGTTTTTCAAGGCTTGCTACCTTAGCTGCCAATTCCAAATTTGTAGAACATATACTGGAGTTCGAAATACCTTTTGGATTATTATTTCTTGTATTTCTCTTCATCATAACACTCAATTAACACACTTTTAATTAACTATTTTAACTCTGTAAATTACTATATCCATTTCGTTCAGTAGCCGGCTTTGCGCGTGCTACTCGGTCGACCCGACGACGCCGACGCCATGATGTGTCTCCTTTCGTCATCATTCTTTCGACGCCATGACGTATCTCCTTTCTTTATAATTTTTTATTTTTGATTATTCTTCGAATCGCTGCACCCAAACTTTATCATATAGAATCCTCTTGTGTTTACCACTTTCTTTATGGTTAACATCATCGATTTCCTTTATAGGTTTGGAGCATTCTCCGCCGCCATCGGAGAATATCGTAAACAACTGGTATATACAAATACACGGGTTTAAATAGCGAATATACGAAAAGTTTATTATATAATTATTCTAAAAGTGTTATGAAGTACATTTTGTGAAAATTCTAAACAAAAAAATAAAAAGGTAAAGATTTTGATATCTTCAGAGATCACTTTCATTATAAATGTAACGATCATAGTTCTATGCACCGGTTTTACTAGCTCGGATATTACTAGGGCTATCTGGATTGTAACCAAATTTTTTAAAGATACATAATTATAATTATAAAAGACATTCATAAAAAATTAAGCACTACTGGATTAGCAAGAAGTATACCATTAATATTGATCAAATTATATTTTTTCTTTATAAGTCTACATCAGTGGTTCTCGGACTGGTTATAAAACTTTTAAAATCTTGAATGATGTTCTGTACAGGTTTTCAAGGTTTGCTGCCTTAGGTGCCAATTCTAAATTTGTAGAACATGCACTGGAGTTAAAAATACATTTTGGATAATTATTTCTTGAATTTCTCTTCATCATAGCGCTCAATTAACACACTTTTAGTTAACTATATTGACTCTGTAAATTACTATATCAATTTCATCCAGGAGCCAGCTTGGCGCGTGCTACTCGGTCGACGCCATGATGTATCTCCTTTCTGTATCATTCTTTCGAGGCCATGACGTATCTCCTTTATCGTTTATCATTTTTGATTATTCTTCGAATCGCTGCACCCAAACTTTATCATATAAAATGCTTCTGTATTTACCTCTTTCTTAACGGTAGTTAATTTAATATTAACATCATAAATTTCCTGTATAGGCTTGGTGCATTCTCCGCCGGTGTTACCACCATCGGAAATAACTGGTGTATACAGATACTCGGGTTTAAATAAAATCAAATCAAATCATGTTTATTGGTGACAATAATAAATATACACACACGTCATAATATGAAAATACAAAATTTAGACAATCATTACATATTTGTCACTTAAACATAGATACATTGATTATAAAAGGTAAACTTATATAAAAAAATAAAAACTTATAAATTAAACTTTGAAATCACTCAGACATACATTATCAGATAAAAACGATTTAAAATCATAAAAGGCCTTTCTTACTACGTAATTTTTTATCACTTGTTTTGAATACGTTAGCCGGTAGAATTCTAACCTGAAGTGGTAGCTTGTTATAGAAGGCTGGCGCACAACAAATTTTTCAAGATGTACTGCGAAGGTAAGGTTAGTATCTTTAGACTCTGAAAGTAGGGTTTCGCGTCGTCACGATAACCGGCACGAGCAAAAATTCTAATAGCTCGTCTTTGCAGCGCAAAACCTCTGGATGCATGAGCGAAGTGCCCCCAAACAAGTAGACCATATGCATATACTGAATGTATGAGTGCATGGTAGGCCATCATACAGACTTCCTTATCCACCAATTTTGTCAGATTTCGTAAAACAAAAGTTCTCGAAGTCAATTTCCTAGCTATGACGTTTACGTGATCATCAAAGCACAGTTTCGAATCTAAGGTGACCCCCAGGAAATTAGCTTCACCCTGATGATCCCTGCAATCAAGTGGCCTTAAAGAAAAGATTATGTTCTTGGTCTTGTCGCGATTCAGGTTTAGGCGACTTGCCGCAAACCAGTCCCCAATGCCATTCAATTGTTCATTCTTCACGTCTACCAGGGTTGCATAATACTTAGATCTTAGAAGGAAACTAGTGTCATCAGCATATATTTCATCTCAGGGTGTTGCACTGCACATTTAACGTCTTTAATGTAAATCAGGAATAGTACAGGACCCATAATTGGAGCCCTGCGGAACACCAAACCTCATCACACGTTCCTCCGACATACGTCACCTGTCGTCTTTCTGTCAGGTAACTTTCAATTAATCGACAACCATCTGAGTCAACACCATAGTAGTGCAGTTTCCGGACAAGTATATCATGAGAGACACTATCGAAGGCTCTAAAAAGGTCGCAGAAAGTGGCTCCCACAAACTCTCTCCTCAAACCCCCGCAGAATGCCCTAGCACAATCTACCTAGTGCCATCACTGTTGATTTCTTCTTTCTAAAACCGAATTGCTCTGAGATGAATATGTTATTCGATTCAAAATAGTTACACAGTTGGTCTGTTAGTAATACTTCAAACACCTTAGACAGAACTGGTATCAAAGAGATGGGTCTATAGTTGTCTGGTACATCCATTAGCGTAACTAGAAATTTATCCTGGAGTAGGCCTGGGTTGGAATCCAGGGGGCCTAGGGCTTTTGTTTTTTAAAAATGAAAAATAATTTTAAAAAACGCATTTTTTTAATAAAACGTTTACATAAATTTCTCTATCAATACATTTCATAGACTTGGTTATCAAACGGTGTTCCCGTAGATTACTTAAATACCTACAAATTTTCTAAAAAAATAAAAATTAACACATTTTTTGAACACAACAAAATAATATTAACTAAACAAAACTACAAAACGTAATTTTTACTGCATCACAAGCAAATAAAAATTAATACGTAGCCAAGAGGGTGCCCAGCAGTACCTGGGGGGTCCGGCACCCCGGGCACTCCTGTAGTTACGCTAATGGGTACATCTCGATTTCCTTTCTTGAATATTGGAATAGTCTTACTGATTTTTAATGAGTCTGGATAAGTGGAACTTTCTATTAATTTCTTGAAGAGTCTTGTTAGGGAGCTAATTAGAACGTTCTTCGGACGGAGATTTAATGAGCACTGGCGTTAAGTTGTATATATCTCTACTATATTTGCTTTTTAATTTATCAATTGCGGATCTGACATCATTGTGGCTATACCTATGAAAAGCAAATTTAAAGTTGGGGTCTCTAAATTGGCGTTGAAGATATATATCAAAGGTGAGACTAGCCTTTGGGAGTCCTACGACAAGCTGTTCAGTAATTTCTGCAAAAAAGTTGTTAAAAGTATTAGGATCTAAATTAGTTCTCTCATTGGTATTTCTAGATTTTCTTTGGGTATTAATTACCTCCCATGCAGCCTTACCCATATTGTCGGCGTTTTTAATATAATTTGAGTTAGAATTTTTTTTGCTTCAATTATTGCATTTTTATATTGAAGCCGGTATTCTTTGAATTCTTCATGAAGAAGAGGGCAATTTGATTCCTAGCACTCTCGTCCAATAATGTCAGCTCCTCCCTCATGAGCCTAATTTCAGTGGTGAACCAGCCTGCTTTCTGACTCTTCTGATTCCCCTTTGCTCTAGGTCTTCTTTGTCGTTCGGGAAAAGACATATTGAAATATTTTACTATATGATTTAAAAGCAGGTTAGATTTCTCATTTACTGAAATATTGCGACCAAGGAACCGTCACTTTTCCAGCAGGTTATATAAATTAAAAATTCCTGCCTGAGTTATAGGGCGAAATAACATATTTTGTGAATCTAAATTGTGGCTGTCCCTAGTGGGCTCCGGTTGAAGGCTTATGTCGATCGCACAGTGATCGGAAAGTAGAGGATTAAATACTTTTACATTAAAATTAGAATTATAATTTAAAGAAAAGTTGTCATTAAAATTAACAAAGTCATTATCCAAGCAGTGATTTAATCTAGTATTAACAAAAACTGTCTGCTCAAATCCAAAGGAATTTATAACATCAATAAATTTAGTTTTATTGTAATATTCTTTTTCTAAGTGAATATTAAAATCTACCTCTAAAAACAAATCAAAGTCTCCAGAAAGAGGTCTGTATAAGGTTATTTAAATAACACCACAGTCCAAGAGATCCACACCGCACACTTCATAGTGTCTCTCCCTTGAGAATCCTTCAAAGCTATTAAGAGTCTTTACCCGAGCATCCGTACTAGTGAAGATTGCTGCACCTCCATGCCTATGCTTTTGACGACAGAAATGAGCTGCACATTGAAAACCCTGTATTCTCAGCTGCAGGATCTCTTCCGTTAAAAGACAGTGTTCTGTAAAGCAGAGTGCATTATACTTTGTGGGGCAGTTGCACAAGAAAGCCTCAATTTCCCCTGTCTTGTTACTAATTGACCATATATTTATATAGAAAATGTTAAGGCAATGTTTCTGTAGTGTTATATTCCCTTTGTCCACATTGATTTTATCTCTTTATTCCCACACCAAAGGGCCAGAACTTAAAATGATATAGATCGTCCTTCAAATGGAGGGGCGCTGTAACGACAAACGATTTATATGTGTTACGGTTACTTGGCAATTCCTTAACACTGACGTTAACACCAGTAAACCCTGGCTTGGCTTTTACGTAGTTCAGTATCATATCACCAGTTGCGTGTCTTTTAACACGGTTTATGTAGATCCACGCTCGTCTGTCAACTCCAGCAAAACCGGTGGAACAGTTCTCTTCCGAGACGGGGGCATTACCTATACGTTTTTTGTAAGTTTGTTTTCTTTTTTGGGGTTTTTGTAATTCAAAAACATCATCTTTATCCTTAAAATTAGTATAATCTCTGAAATATTCACATCATTCAACACTATCTTCTTTAGCATTAGTTGACCCTTTCCTAGAGACCACGCTGGTCATCGGATGATCCACTCCCGTATGATCTGGCACTAGCTGCTATCTGGCTATAAGTCGCTGGACTTTTCTGCTGACCTGGGCCATCGGTTCCATCTAACTTCACACTTGTTTGGATTTCTGGTAGGATCTTTGGTTACAGTGTGCCACTTGAGCAAGGCATGCGCACACTGGGTCAGAATTTGGCGGGTTTGACTGTTTGTTGTTTTTTTTTCTTGTAAACCTTTAAGTTCTTTTGAAAGATTTTTTTATCTGATCCTCCATGTCATTCAATCTACCATGTAACAAATCTTGGTTTTCCATCATTTGCATGAGAAGTTTATTCAGCCAGGGCCTCTTATCATTATTGGCATCGTTATTTTGGGCACACGTTGAGCAGATGATTAAATTATAACCCACCACTTTTGCACCCTTAACTCGCACTAAACATGCCGGGTGTAACTGTTTACCACATTCGTTACACTTTAATTGTCCTTTTAAGGACCTTTTACAGCCCGAACACACGTTATCCGAAATAATTCCGGGATCGTCGGATTGTTTATCATTATCGGACGCCATCTTGAACTCTACTGTGTTAATTAAATAGCGAATATACGAAAAATTTATTATACAATTATTCTAAAAATATTATGAAGTCTTCCAAACAAAAAAATAAAAAGGTAAATATTTTGATATCTTCAGAGATCACTGGCATTATAATTTATTATTCGAGCTAGTAAAACCTTGTAGATGAGTAATAACTCGCCTGATTCAACAACGGTAGCGATCATAGTTTTATGCACCGGCTTTTCTAGCTGGGATATTACTAGGGCTATCTGGATTATAACCAATTTTTTTTAAGAGATACATAATTATAATTATAAAAGACGTTCATAAAAAATAAAGCACCAGTTGATTAACAAGAAGTATACCATTAGTATTGATCAAATTATATTTTATCCTCATAAGTATACCGTGCTGGCAACTGTTACTTTTAGGTCGGCATTTACATGTGTGGAAGTAAATCGCATAGGGATCTTATTAAGTCGGAGTGAGAGAAATGCGACAGACCGACGCGACGCGCGACGGTGTGCTGTTGCGGCGTTGCCATACGCCTTTCCCTATCACGTAAAATCACGATCGCAAACCGCTTATTTTTAAAAGACTTTTTTTCAAGAGATAACTAGATAAAATCATTAAACATGTTTCTGAGCATCTGAAATGGCATTATAAGGATATCGTTAGGGTGTCATTTATTTATAACGAGAAAACGTCAGTAATCGCGATAATTTAAAAACTCAACTTTTTAACACATAACATGCCATAACTCAAGAACCAATTTAGATATTGAAACTTTTTTTATTTTCAAGATCGGATATTTTACAATATGTTTACATAAGATAACTTCGATAAGGTTGTTTTTTCCATTCAAAAATTGTAAACAATCCATCCATTTATTTTTTGACCATAGCAATTTTCAGCAATCGTGTAATTTTTTTATTGATAAAGATTTTCACATACTGTCTACAAAGAAAATACAGCAGAAATATTAACAAAGTTCTTGAAAAAACTACAATCTATTATTTCTAATAGATTTCGAGATATCGATTTTTGAGTTCTAATAGCGCGACCACTATCTAACACCCACTCAATTCCACTTATTTTTACCAAAAATGCAAGTTTTTCTAGCTTGCACTTAAAAGAATTCAAGCTGTAGGGAAAATTACAACGACTCGTTAATAAATAAACAAATTAAGTATCACGAGACGTAATTAAATCGTGAAGCTGAACGCATGACGTACACCTTTCCCTAGAACTTTAAGTATTGACAGAGGTATTGATTGGGTCGACCGGTCAACTGCGACAAATCTGCTATATCCCCTTCCATGTCTCTTAGCGATGTGCACAGTTTCTCGGTTTATTTCATACGTTTGGCAACGTGTTTACTGTCCTCTCTTTGTTCAGTATATTATAAACGCATTGTACTCTTCTTACATACGGAAATCTCGACCCAAGACTAACCTTTGCCAGCCCTTAGTATATGTATGCCAATAGATTTCTTTGCTTATATAATGGGCACTTTGTGTACTCACTTTATTCGTCGAACTGCCTTAATCCATTCTTGTTTTTGATCAAATGGGTGTTATAAAGCTGGGAAGCTGTATAATTGTTATTCTTGGAACGTTGTATTGAGTGTTATTGCACCCAATAACCGCACAATAGTGTCCTCCTATTCTTGTTGCTTTTTTTGCGGCAATTTCTTGATCATTCGACATTGTCACAACTCAATGTATCGCTCAGTTCGGGTTCTCTTTCACTTAATTTTAACTACCCGAAACAGCGTTGCACTAACGCTATAGCTATGAGCGTAAAGCCAAATCCTTCCTCTATAGGTGTTATTTTCACCTCAACACCTCTTTCTCTATTTACGGTGGTTATTCTTCCCTCATATTCAACATACTTTTGATATTTCACCAGCACTTGATAATTCCTGGCCACCATATACATTGTAAACTTATTTCGATGTGTACGAGTATTTTTATTATTTTTATTATATCATTCTTAATATGTTAAAATGATAATTTTTTTAGACAATTAGAAATAAATAAAAACTTAACCTTCTAAATATAATTATTAATAACTTTTAAATATAATTATTATTGTTTGGATTACTTATTTTGTCTACACTCGATACCATATTATTATATGAGCTACTTAGATGGCTCATGCTTGCTTACGGTCCTATCTACAGTGCCCAACTTCGAGAGTCTTACATAAGTGCAAATATTTTCAGAGTTTGTAGATCTTGATAAAAGAAATATTTATTCTCTTTACCGTCTGAAATCAATAAGTCTAAAATAGCCGAGATATTTTACTTTCAAAAATTTTAAAAATGTTTTTTGCTTAAATTTTGAGAACCACTGTTTTTTTCTGTATTTTTGTTTGTCTAAATTTATTCTACTATCTATGCTGCCATATCACCAAGATATTGTTTTTTATATATATACAGGGTGATTCCTGTAAGTCGGTCATGCTTTCGAGGAATGATGGGGGACGTCGAAATATTAATTTTGATATAGCACATTATGGGTCGGAAATGCCTCTTACGTAAAATACAGGGTGTTAAAGTTTTTGAAAAATTAAAGATATTCTTTAATAGTTTTTTAACAGTTAAGGGTATCGTTATAAAATTTTATTATCGGTATCTACCTAACAGGGACACTTTAAATGTAAAAAGAAGAGGTTTTAGTTTGAACCAGTGGCGTAGCTGTGATACGCATGGGGTAATTTTTTCAAAAAAAATAGTACGCCACTGATAAAAATAAAAATTTCGGAGTTTTTTTATTTACTCTGTTAATTTCCAAGAAAAAATGTCTCTTGCAACTTTCTTCTATCTAACACCATTTTGTCACAATTTAAAAATAAATATTTTTTTAATGAGAGCCTTAAATATGCGAATTATTATAACCAGCTTAAAACTACGAATTTTATTATTAACAACAAAAAATTCTAGTTTAAATTTATAATTTTTTAAAAATTTATTTAGTGCTAATAGTAAAAAGTACTAAAGTTACCCAAGATGAAGTGAGCTAACGATGCACATGAACTTCTGCCCTCTAGTTATAATAATTCGCTGTATTTAAGATTCTCATTAAAAAATTTATTTATTTTTAAATTGTGACAAAATGGTGTTAGATAGGAGAAAGTTACAAGAGACATTTTTTCTTGGAAATAAACCGAGTAAATAAAAAACTCCGAATTTTTTTTATCAGTGGGGGGTTTTAGTTTTTAGTTTTGAAAAACGTATTTCTGTGGCCTAAAAATATTTTCACTTCATTAAGACTCACCATGTATATATTTCCTTAATTGGTTTATTATTAATAGAAAACAATATTGAGTCGCACCCATGATTATTATTATTTGATATTATACAGGAGAAATACAATTTTGACATAAAACCACAAAAACCGAACATTTCAAGATACTTTTTAAAATGTTCATATATCGATGTTTTCTCCTCAGTAATACCAACACTACTATATAAATCCATCGCCTCATATGTTAGTTTTGGATATTTTAAATTACTTACTTGGCCAGCTGCAGCACTTAAACCTGCAGATAATCCAGCTATGACTCTACCTAGAAGCAGTACGGCGTGGTTTTCTGAAAGAGTTATTAAAATCCAGCCTAGAATGAGTGGTACGGATGCCAGTTGTAGAACGAATTTTCTGCCTATTCTATCCATTAGAACACCGCTAAGCAACGATCCAAATGGGGTGGCTGCTGAATGTAAACTTGCTGAAAAAAATTCAATGATTTATTTTTTCTTGAAACTCATGATTCAAATAACAGGATTGTTCACTATATACGACACGGAGTATTGTAGCTAAACGATTAGATTTTTAAAAATTGTAAGTTCTGAGTTCGTTGAAGGTTTATCATATCTGAAAATCTTTTTTGAAATATTTTCAATTTTGTGAAATTGCAGTAAAAAAATTAAGGCTTTATTTTTCCAAGGGTATCAAAGTTTTTAATACTAAATATTTAATGAAGTTTATTAATTGATCAGATATTGTGTTGCAATAATAAAAATATTATTATCTTATACAGGATGTCTAAAAATCAATTCTCAATTACTATTAAAAATTAATTCTAAATTACTTAAATTACTAGATTAACACGCCAATAACTTGAGAACACCCTGTATATATTTTTTTAAATCTCATGCAAAATTTAATTATCTATCGAAGTCTGTCACAACTTTTTTAACTAATTCTTCAGGTTTCCGCAGAAAATGCATATTTTTATAATAATTCATACCTTCTTTAAAAATTTTAATATTTATCTATATACCCATGATATTTTGACACAACCTATTTTGTCTACGCTTATCGGAGATATCTATAAAAGTGTTCTTGAGGTTTTTTTATTAGTTATTGTTATAGTTTCTGTTATTTTATTATTGTTTTCTGTTATTTCGTTTCGATTATTTTATTTGTTAGTATTTCTGTATTATTATTTAAAATTAAATTGTATTCAAAAGAGGAGCTGATTGACATGATTTTTATACTTGGAGAATATCAACAAAACTGCCTACTAGCGTCAAGAGTTTACGCTGAACGATTTCCCAACAAAAACCATCCAAATAAAAATGTTTTTGTAAATTTGTAGGATCAGTTTAAGCAAACTGGAAGTCTTGAGTATAACGAAGCTATCAGAATTCGACATGCTACAAATGATGAAAATGAATTTGGCGTGATTGCGTCTATAAATTGAAAGTCCTCATATACAAAATGAAATAGCTCAAAATTTTAACATTAGCCGAGCCAGTGCATCAATAAAACATGTTCATGATGATTACAAAATAATCACCAATATCACCAAGGACTTTCCCAAATTGATTTTCAAAAAAGAATAGAATTTTGTACGTGGGTGTTGGATAGTGTGGCAGAAAATCAACACTTTATTACTTTTGTTTTGCTTACTCACGAGTGCACATTCCATAATAATGGACATGTTAACAGGCATAATTATCATTATTATATTCTGATACTAATCTGCATTTTTATCAGATACTTAATAATCAACATAGATGGTTTATTAATATTTGGGCGGGAATAATAGGACCTTATTTAGTCGGACTTTATTTTTTACATGAATATTTAAATTGTGTATCTTGTGACGCACTTTACGGCTTTTTAATGCTTTGGTTAAAATGCCGTCGAACGGTCGCGTACTAAAATGCCGTTAATCAATGCCGTTTTCCGTTGCCCTTTTGGTATGTTTTTTTCGTTGCGTTTGCCCTATTATTGTAGCAACAATTTGTGCTAAGTGCTATAAATTGATTTTAATTAAGGTGTACATCTGGATATTATCGGTTCAGGATGGAGAGAGTGTTTCAGTTAGTTTTCTGATTGTTAATTTATCTATAAACATTTTTAGGTTAGTTAGGTACCTAATTATTTTTCATGACTGAAATTATCATGCTGAAAATTGGGGATAGGTTCAGCTCATTCGCTGACGCAAAGAAAGCGATTGAGGAACTTGGTGAAAATACGTACACAACATTTTGGAAACGAGATGCCCGTACGTTTGCAAGCAGTAAAATTGTGAGACCAATAGAAAGCTCTTTGATTTATTATCAACCTCTATATGCATGTAATCACGGTGGAAAGAAGTTTAAGGGCAGTGGGAAAAAAATTCGACAGTCTTGGACATTTAAAGAAGATTGCCCAGTACATGTAAGATTCAAAGCATCGTCTGATGGAAAAGCACTCGAGGTAACATCGGTTCAAATGAAGCACAATCATGTCACTTCGAAGGTAAGTTTACAGATTAGTTGACATATAGTATGCTTTTAGAATTCTTGCTTGAACAGTATTTTATTCATAAAAGATATATTTTCTAGGTTCTACATGCACATAACCCTAGCCAAAGAAAACTTTCCAGTAACATGAAGGAAAGGGTCAAGGATTATTTGAATATGAAGGCCAATAGAAAAATGATACAGCAAAAAGTTCAAGAAAGTACTGGTAAAATTGTTACTTTACAAGATTTAACAAATATGAAGATATCCGATCAACTAAGAAATAAAAACTTAGATGGCTGCTTAAATATACTTAAAGCTAAATATGGTAAACTAAAATATTCTATTATCGTCTTATTAGTCCCAATAACTACTCTGTTTTCAGGTACCAAAGGAGACGAAGACAATAATTTCAGAGGACTTTTCATTCAAAGTCCAACTATGAAAAGTACAATGAAGGCTTTTCCAGAATTTCTTGCAGTAGATGCTACATATAAATTATGATGATGCAGTTGTATTTGAAAGTAAAAATCAGTTTTCTGTGGAACACTCTGAGGTTTGTGACGAGACGGACCTTCAAGACAGAAACAATATGAGTGAAGCGCTCATATTAGATAATAGAAATACATCAACTCTTGGTCAGTCACCTGTGGAAGCACCTGAGTTTTGTAACGAGCTGGTTATAGAGGAGGAAATGACACGAGATGAAGCGCATCAACTTTCCTATATTAGTGATTCAGTTTTAAATGACGTCAACAACCAGTCCCATCAGATAGTTGAAGTCAATGATTTCGCTTTGACAACAATTAAGATGCCTGTTTCAATAAAAAACGAGGACGTCCAAAAGGACAGGACTTAACAGTCATAGGACTACCAAAGAAAAAGAAAAGATGTACTGTAGCATTTGCTAAACAATCCCATCATGAAAAACAAAATGTAATCCTGAATTGCTTCGTTAAGGATCGTAACATCGTTAGAGACATCACAAATGGGAAATTTCTTGAAACTGTAGACCTTAAAATGCTCCCCGAAGAAATATCACATGCCGTTCTTGATGAGGCTGTTGATATCCACATGATAAGGTAAGTCTAGCGATACCTAATAATTACCAAATTAATAACTAATAATGTAAATTACGATTTTTAGAAGTTTTTGCACCGAGAAAGCCTTTGAAAAATAACCAATCTAGTTGAAAAAACGACTTCAACAAAGTTGGTTTTGTTTTGTGTGCAGTGAAGACACGCAGAAAAATCATATGTCACTTTGTTGCAGTAGATGCCTTCTATGGAGACATATCCGTTGTGCAGGATTGACTAAGCGACCTAAATCAAAACTGTGGTTTTGCAGAGAATGCTATCTGTAGCATTATTATTTTTAAGTTGACGTAGTATTATTTTTAAGTTGTCAGTTTATAATTTGCAATAAAAACCTGAAAACCAATGCCATATATTACATTTTATCGCAAATACATTTTCAAACCTACAACGGCAACATATACGTCTACCTACATATACACCCTTCCAAGTTAATTTTATTCAGAATAAGCCTTGACGGATTTTGGACAACATTACATTACAAATTATTAAGTATTAATCAGTAGCCTACTCTGCATTAACGATTAACGTCATTTTAGTACGCGACCGTTCGACGGCATTTTAACCAAAGCATTAAACAGCCGTCAAGTGCGTCACATCAACGACGTCATACCTATTAATGGCATTTCAGTAGGCAACTGTTTAACGGCAGTTTAAGTACAGCCAAAAAGATATCAAAAAAATAAAAAATACCGTTTCTATAATATCGAGGGGGAATACATATGACGTATTTTTTGAACCACCCCGACCTACCCCTAAGGCGGCACCACTACTCACTTGAAAATCTTAAATGGCAACACCCCACTTGTGGCGCCTTTTTGGAAAGTCCATGAAAAATGCTAAACGATGATCATAAAGTTTTTAGGGTGAAATTGGAAAACTACCCCTTACACGAAAAATTAGGTGGACATTAATGAGAAAAGTGATTTTTTCAGCATAAGTTACAAATTGGGACCCAGCTAAATGAGGTTTTTTTCAAACTACCCCGACCCACCCCTAGGTGCCACCCCTCACTTCTAACCCCAAGCTAGCGATACCCCACTTGTGACACCTCTTTGGAAAGCGTATAAAAAATGCTGAACGACTGTCATAAAAAAGAACGAAAAAAAATTGAGCCTAAAAATAAAACAAAAATGTCAAAACGTGTCAAAATCAATAGAATGAATTATTTTTGTATCCATGAACCATTGCGAGAAAAAAAAGCTGGTACAAAAAAATTTATTATAACTCTTAATGAAGACCTCATACACTTTCAGCAAGATGGAGCTCCTTCGCATTATTTTATTGTCACAAGGCGGTCGTTGGATAAATATTATCCAAGGCAATGGTTTGGCAGAAGGGGTCTAATCGAGTAGCCGCCAAGGTCACCTGATCTCACTCCTTTAGACTTTTCCTTGTGGGGTTACACTAAATCCATAGTCTACAAGACAAAACAAGGTTCGTTGCAAGAATTGCGGCAGAGGAGAACTGAAGCATGTCGAAATATTCCGAGAGAGACTTTCCAAAAAGTGAGAGAAGAATTTGAAAATCGTTTGTATTTTTGTATGGAACAAAAGGGCTGTCATTTTGAGCAATTATTAAAATAAATTATCATTTTAAATTTCTTTCAAATTGTCACACCTACATTTCTTGTCACTAACCAGTAATTAAGTTGAAGTCTGTATGACCATCGTTTAGCAATTTCAATTAGCTTTCCAAAGAAGTGTCACAAGTGGGGTATCGCTATCTTGATATTAGAAGTCAGGGGGTGCCACCTAGGGGTGGGTTGGGGTGGTTTGAAAAATACTTCATTTGCGTCATTTAGACTTATGCTGAAAAAATCACCTTTTTCACATTAATGTCCACCTAATTGTTCGTGTAAGGGTAGTTTTTCAATTTCACCCTAAAAACTTTATGATCATCATTTAGCATTTTTCATGAGCTTTCCAAAAAGACGCCACAAGTTGGGTGTTGCTATTTAAGATTTTCAAGTGAGTAGGGGTGCCTCTTAAGGGGTAGGTCGGGGTGGTTCAAAAAATACGTCATATGTATTCCCGCTCGATATTATAGAAACGGTATTTTTTATTTTTTTGATATCTTTTTTGGTTTAAAAATTATAGCCATTGTAAGTTTTCAGTGGTTAGAAAGGTATAGGAAACAAACATTAAATACTTTTTTCCTTTAATATAATGGGTACATTTTTAATAATAGTAATGGCTTTATTTAATAAATAAATGGGCGAAGTCTTGCTAAAAAAACCACTCACACTTAACCCAAAAATTACAGTAATGCTTACAGTCTAATACTAATATTTTAATCTAATGATCTATACGAAAAGATAATTAATAAATAAATATTTTAATAATAAATTAAAAGAGAGAAAAAAAATAAGTTACAACAATAACAGAATTAAATTACCTAACCATTTTGAGTATCTAATAAATAAGATTTTAAATGTATTTTGAATTTTTCGGAGTGTACGATTATATATAATTTAAAATCTTTGGTCAAGGCGTTAAACAGGTTGACAGCATTATAGGTGATACACTTCCGAAACATGGCTGTCCTATGTAGAGGCATAGTAAGAAAAATGTTGTCTCTTAAATCCAAGATTACAGTTGAGGGTTGGAACCTTTGGTGTTACACAGCAAAATAAAACACTAAATCACCACAATACACCAAAGCACACAGTTTATAAACTCAGTTTATAATCATCTGCTGATGATGCTAATATGGTTAGAGAAACGCGCGTCCAGTGTAAAAGTAAAAGTGTTTTGGTGTATTGTGGTGATTTAGTGTTTTATTTTGCTCTAAAATCCAACTTATGCATGTTTTGCCTAAAAATTAATTTTTGTCATAAATGGCAATGAAGTTTCTATAACACGTTTGAGCGACGATAAAAATATATATTTGAAAGTGTTTTCTACCCTTAACCAGTTAAGATTTTGAAAAGCTGCTGATATATGATCATATTTACGTAAGTTATACACAAATCTACAGCAGGTATTTTGAATTTTTTGAAGTCGCCTGGCCTGTTTGATGTCGACTGTCCAGATCCAGATAATCGACAGAAATGCAATATAATAATCGGGAGACAACCTGCTGTTGACATAGTCTCACTCTCATTTCGTGGGATAGAAGTTCCCTATTTGAATAGAGTTCTTATAGCACGTATATGTTAATTATAAAATGTGATTTGAAAATTTCATATCTTCATTAAAATAAACGCATACGTTTTTGACGGAATCACGGTACGATGTCCTCATTATTTATAGAATATTTTATTTTAGATTTTAAAGTGTCTCTTTTTCTCTTCAGGCAAAAAATTATAGCTTTACAGTTTTTTGAATTGTTGTAAATTATATTTTTTAGCGTATTGATAAATGTTTTCTAAATTTTTATTTATAATCAAAAAAGAATTCGTTATATTATTGCATTCATTATACTCAAAATGATGATAAAGTTGAGTATCATCAGCAAAGAACTGAACGGTACTATCTGAAATACATGAGACCAAATCTCAGACTTTATAAATACGAAAAAGTAAGGGTCCCAGTACAGAGCCTTGCGGTACACCCAAAGAGGCTTGTAAGAGATCATATGACTGGTCATTGTACCTGACCATCTGCAAACGATTTGTTAAATATGTTCTCAGAAAATGCAAGGAGATCTCGTCAAACCCAATAAATCTACATTTAGATACAAGTAAATTGTGACTTATAGTATCAAAAGCTTTGGTAAAATCAAGCAGAATATGTGAGGTTGCCATATTGTTGTCCCATGCACGTATAATGTTGTCATATAAATTTAAAAGCGATGTTTCTGTACTGTAACATTTTCTAAAACCTGACTGGTTGTGGCGTAACAGCGTGTTTTCCTTCAAATATTTGTTGATCTGCCTAAATGCGACCTTTTCTAGGATCTTTGATAAATGGGTAGCAAACTTATTGGACGGAGATCTCCAAAATTTTCGCGATCAACTTATTTTTTAAAGGTATTACAACTGCCTGCTTCCAATTTTCTGGAAAATACCCACATTCCAAACATAAATTTACAATATGGCAGATATATTTATCTATTTCCGGTAAACACAATTTAAGCATATGTAAAGCTGTACCATCTAAACCACAAGAATTTGACTTCAACTCATTAAACACATTTCGAACATTAGAAACTTCAATTAATTTGAAAGTAAAGCTTGCATTATTTGTCATTCTATTATTATTATAGTAATATATTTTTTCAGCACACTATCACTATTCTGAAATATAGACGTAAATAATATATATATAATAGATAGCAAATCTATTCTATTATTTGATTTTTGGATGTTTAAATTTTTAAATGCTTTCTGAAGTTCAGATGTGTTTTTATTCTCATATAAAAATTTCAAATAAGCAGATTTTTCTCTCCGTATCGTAGATTTAGCAAAGTTTCTCAATTCTTTATAATATTTCAAATTTTGAGTAGTTTTATATTTTTTGTACTGTTAGTTAGCTATTACTAGCTTTATCTCGTTCCTTCATAATTATTTTTAGATCTGTAGTAAGCCAAGGAACTTTGGATTTAATAACGCGAGCTGTCTTTAATGAGGCATGTATATCAAAAATCTCATCATCTATCAATATATTTGTAAGAAAATCTATTTTTTCATTTATGTCTGGAATTCGTATATGATGCCATGAGAATCTTTGCAAATCGATATAAAATTTTTCAAACTCAATATTACTAAAATCTCTGTATGTTATCATTTTTGGTTTTGGTTTTTTAAATTAAAATTAACATCTAAAAACACTTAAGTGATTATCAGATATGAATAAATCTGTTTTTATTTTTTAAGATGTTAATTTATTTTTTTATTGTATTCTAATAGGTATATTTAGAGATATGACGTAAAGTAAGCTACAGGTTGCTTATAAAATTATATAAAAAATTCTACTGAATTAATATACACTGCATTTTAGTATTATTCGGTTACTAAACCCCTAACATTAGACAGTAAA